TGGAAAATCCACACACAAAAATAGTGACTTCACTTGAGGAACTATAAATGAGAAGGAGATATTTCATGTCATTCTGTATTACTTTTTAAATTACCAAGTGACTGTGTTGTTTTTCTATGTTTTTAAAAGTCAAAGAAAGAAGGTGGCCCTCTTCACAGCAGCTAATGTCTTAGGGACCTGGCATCCTAGTCAACAAAGGTCCCTAACACAGCTGCTGTGAGGAAGGCCACCTTTCTTTCAAATAATTTTTTGCACCTTTTCCCTCTGGGCCCATCCCTTGGCCTTGTTAAGGGGGTATTTAATTTCATGTGTACAAATGCACATTGCCTTGAGTTTATTATGTCACATCCAACCTGAGACAAGTAAAACACCCAGAAGAGAATAGGATGACTCCAGCTCAGTCTAACAGGAGGACCCCAAAGGGAGCAAAGGTCTCTACAGGCTTTTGGAGGGAAAACAAACAGCGTTGGCGGGAACACACTCGTGGTACACGTGCACACACGTTTCCACTGGGTTTGTACCTGGGAGTGGAATTCCTGGCTCATAATGTGCATATAGGTTCAGGTTAGAGAGTGCTGCCACATCATTTTCCACAGGGCTGGTGCCAATTCACACCCTGCCAACCAATGCTGATGTTGGTGTTGATGTCCTATAAATTTGGACCATTCTGCTAGGATTATGTCAGTGTGGTTCTGATTTTGATATCCCTGGTGAATTATGAGATTCAGCAGCTTTTCATAGTCCAATTGGTGATTGAGATATCCATTTTTATGTGAAAATCTGTTCAAGTCTCCCCCCATTTCTCTACTGGTTTTCAGTTTTTCTCTTGCTCTTTCGTACTGTTAAACCCTGAATATAAATCCACAGCTGGACATAGGTACTGCCAAGGTCTGCCCTCAATTGGTGGCTTGTCCTCGGAAGTGCCTTTGATGAACAACCATTCCAAACTCAATATAGTCCAGTTCATCAATCTTTTCCTTTATGGCTAAAGATATTTGTATCCCTTCTACAAAGTTTTATCTGCTCCTAGGTCATCTTCCAGAAACCTTATTTATTTTACCCTTTATTTTATACCTATAATATCATTGCAACTAATTTCTGTATATAGTGTAAATGGTTGTCTATATTCCCTTTTAATGTAAATATAGATAGCCAATTTACCCAGCCCTATTTGAGAATAGAGTTTTTCCACAATGCAGTGCAATTTCACCTTTGTTGTAAATCAAGAAGCCATGTGGGTCTGTTTCTAGAAACTCTTTTCCAGTCCATTAGCCTATTTTGTCTATCCTCATGCCAATGCCATACTGTCCCAATTATTGTTGCTTTATAACAAATCTTATTATCTGGTAGCTTTGTTTGTTTGTTTGTTTGTTTTTTGCAGTTTTTGGCTGGGGCCGGGTTTGAACCCTCTACCTCCAGTATATGGGGCCAGTGCCCTACTCCTTTGAGCCACAGGCGCTGCCCCTTATCTGGTAGTTTTACATGGTAACATGTTGGCCTTCTTCAAAATTGTTTCGGTTATTTTTGGCTCTTTGCATTTTTCTGTACATTTAAAGATCAATTTGTCAATTCTTGCTACTCTCCCCCCTAAAAACTGCTAGATGTTTAATAACTGGATTTGATTGGATCTATAATTTGTATGAATTAATAAGGGTCCTCTTCCAATCCACACACATGAAATATCACCCCAGTTATTTAGATTGGTCTGAACTTTCCTCAGTAATTTTCTATAGGTTTGTCTGGAGAAGACACATCTCTTTTGGGTTTATTTCTAGGTATTTGATGTGGTTTTGATAATATTATAAGTGACATTACATTTTTTTCTAAATGTCTATTTAGAAATATATGAAATAGTTTTTTGTATATTGATCTTTTATCTACTAAAATTGCTGAATTTACTTATTAATTCTAATAGGTTATCTAAATTCTTTTAGATTTTATGCACACACAGTCATATTATCTATGAATAATAATAGTTTTGTTCACTACTTTATAATACTTAAACATTTTTTCATCACTTATTACACTAGCTAGGAGCTCCAACATGATGCTGAAGAGAAGTGGGGATATTAGGCATCCTGTTTTAGTCTCACAGGGAAGGGTCTTATATTTCACCATTTATATATGATATTTTCTGAAGTTTCTTGGAGGTAGATAACTCTTCATCAGATTAGATAATTTCCTTCTGTTCTTCATTTGCTAAAAGTTTCTCTTTTTTTCCTAAGTAATGGATGTTGTTTTAATAAATGCTTTTTTCCCCCCATTCCACTGTGATTTGAGAACATATTTTATGATTTCAATCTTCTGAAATTTGCTTTATGGACTAGTATACAGTCAAATTTTGTTCTTGAAAATAATGGTAGTATGCAGGTATTCGTTTATTATTTTATTCTGTCAATTATACTACATTCTACATCATATTGTTCAAATACCTATATTTTTACCTATATTTTTATCGTATTATAAAAATAGCTATATTTATATTTATATTTTATTTTATTTTCTAATATTCTATCAGTTACCTATAGAATTATGTTCCAGTTTCCATTTATAATAGTGAATTTGCCTTTTCCTTTTATGCTTTTGTTTAATATTTTGAATTTATTTTATGAAAAGCATACTCATTTAGAATTGTTCTCTCTTCCTGATTGTTTGACACACTTACCGTTATTAATAGCTCTCTTTACCTTATCTGTTTCTTGCCTGAAAACCACATTGGGGGAGTCTCATCTGTATTTGAACTTGATCTAGATGGTTGAATGCTATACTTTTCAATCGTAATCTGATACTGTGTTTGGAGATCTCTGGAGGTGGTGAGTTTCTTTTTTATATGAGAGGATGTAAATATTTGTGGCTAGAGAATGGACTATCCCCTAAGATGGCCAGCAACAAGTCCTTTCAGGCTTGTACATACCTGCTGTTTCTTCCATCAAGAAATGTAGTCTCTATCATTTACCCTTGAATCTATCTGGCCTTGTGACTTGCTTGGGCCAACAGAAGTCAAATGGCAGAAGTGAAATCTTTGCATTTTGAGCCTAGACCTTAAAAAGCTTGTCTATGTCTGTTTTTGTTCTTTTTAAGCCCAGCATCACCATGTAAGAAGTCTGACTGCTCTACTGGGACAGTCCTAGCCAGGCCAAGGTGTTCCAGTCATCCTGGATAAGGCATAGACATGTGAACTAAGCTTCCTTGGTTGTTCCCATCCCAGTTACATTCTCTGACAACTGTGGACACATTAATGACCTTTGCTAATGCGAATGTCTAGTTGAACATGGTCAACTCATAGGACCGTTATTGTTTGAAGTCCAGGGTTTTGGTGTGGGCTTTTAAAACTCAGCAATGGATAACTGAGATGGACTTTTCCTATCCCTTAGGAATGTTCTTTTTCTCATTAAGTAATAATCGACTTCTCTCTAATAATGCTTTCATCTAAAAGTTCATTTATCTTATTAGACCAAGCTATTAATCATGTTATTTGAATGTATAGCCTTGCTAGTGTGAATCTATTTCAGTTCTTGATTTCTTCTATGACGCAGCTTCTACTTGTTTTAATTTGACTTAATTCATTTCAGATTTAAGACATTTAATTTCTCTTGACTATTCTTCATGGGCTAGGAGACATTTATGCTCACTGAATAGCCACGTGCTTCACATCTCCCAGCTCCCACATAGCAATGTGTCCAATAGACTATGAATGAAGGTGATATAGGTTATTCCAGGCTGAAATGTACAAGAGCAGGTGTGGAGTGCTCATTCATCATTTTCCTTGTGATAGGGACCAAATAGCCCACATGCTTCAGATAGCACAGGTACAAAATGGTGAAGCCTTCATCAGCCTGGGTCTGCTGTCTATTCGTGACCCATGTTGGACTTGTAACTTGAATTAAAAGAAGTTTTTATGTGTTGAGTCACTAACTTTGGATTTGTTGCAAAATATTGTTTTTTTCTCCAGCCTTACTTGAAACTATTTTAGTATTCTTCATTAAATATAAATCTAACTTTTTGCTTGAGATACATAATGATTATCATATCAAGGGAGGATCCTTCTATGGTTATGCTTTGTGTGCTTCAGGACCATTTAAGTAACTTTGGGATTATCCATTCTTTGAAAATTTGTAAGACTTAGCTGTGAAACTCTCTTGTATGGATAGGCTTTTTGTAGGGTTGTTCCTTTGCAACTATGGTTAGCTTTTCTTTCTTATTCTAAGATAATCCTGCTTTTCATTTTTTGGTATTTATTTATGTAAAAAATCAGTTCTTGAATTAAACTATTAGTTCTGTTTCTGTTTTCTAATTTATAAGTTTATGTTTTCCTTAGGCATATTTTTGTTTTTACAAATTCTGAAGTTGAATTTTTACTTATTTTCATTTTTTCCTATTTAGTAATTTAAATGTGCAAAGCCACACATTTTCTTCTGTGCTTTATATTTTCTGACATAGTCTACTCATTATAATATCTTACAGTTAGTTTATGATTTCAGTTTTGATTTCCTCTTTTTTTTTCACAGTTTGATTTCCTATTTAACACTGGAATTTTTAAGGAATTTTCCAATATCTACATGGTAGTTT